TACATACATACATACATACATACATACATACATACATACATACATACATACATACATACATACACTGAGGTCGTCACAAATGCGTTTTTGCACTTGCATATAAGCAAAAACGCATAATCATCGTCCATCACGTAGTACAGCCGGTTCATTCATCCGGTGCGCATTCACAAGCTTACTGCGGAAGCATTCCACCGCGCCGCCCTATTAAAGCACGTGAATTTCATTTATTTCATTTTTGACGTTACAGTTTCTTTTGATTTGCTCCTTCACTAATCTAACTAACCACGTTTCTTCAGGAATACGAGATGCGTATCGAGACATTGCAGCGGCAAGTGGATCTGGCGCAAAGCATGATTTCCTCCACTTGTTCCACTTGGGACGGCGAGCGTTTTCTGACCAGTAGCTTACTCAATTTCGGTAATCTTATCTAGCAAACCTGTTGTAGTTTATCATTTCTTTTTTCACACATTTTTAATTTTCGAATAATTCTAATGAAAATCTGTAGAAAAAAAAAATAATCCGACAGAACTCCTGTATCGAGAATTCTTTGGCTTTCAAAGGACCGAGAATGTTGGTATTGAAAGTTTGCATGTAAAAGTTTAAGAGCCAAGTTTAAATCCAATATGTTAGCTGAATTCCTAAAAATTTTAACGGCTTGTTTTACTATGCAGTTACTATAAATGGTCCAGATTGCTGTAATTTTAATCAATAAGTGGTATTCGTTGGTCATACAGCATGGCGGACAGCCCGGTATAGGAGCTCCGAGATATCTCGATTTACATCGTCAAAGACTGTTCACCGATAAGCCGTGCAAGCGATTTTGATGAATGCTACTTGACGTGTTTTACGAGAATCTGTACAGTGAGTACAGTTGCAGAGCCGGAGTGTAAGTGGACTCCGGAAGAAGAACGAATAGCTCGGCGAACAGCAACCAAATGGCGGTACCACCAGTTCACATCGGTTCGAGACGATCTTTGGGGCAACGCTATCTTCCTCAAAGAAGCGAACGCCATATCGGTTGAATTGAAGAAAAAGGTTAACACTCAGTAGAAGTTAGGAGCAACGGGAAAGCTAAAGCACTGGCAAGTGCTTCTCGAAGGAGAAGCAGGG